CAAAGACCCGTCGGGGCGCCTTGGTCGTTGGGCGCTTCGCCTACAGGAATACGACATTCGTGTTGTATACCGATCCGGCCGCAAGCACTCCGACGCTGATGCGCTATCCCGCTCGCCGCTACCGGCTGACCCAGCCTCCTCGTCACCTTCTTCAGCTGTCATAACACCAATCGACTTCACAGACATGGCATCGGAACAACGCAAAGATGTGTGGATTTCCCAACTCCTCGCCTTTTTGACTGATCCGTTAGCTAATTTAGTGTCAAGAACTATCCGCCGTCAAGCCACACATTTCGCTATTCGAGACGACCTACTCTATCGGCGGAATTACACGTCTGAAGGTAGGAAGTGGCTGTTAGTGATACCCAACCACATGCGCTCGGAAATCTGTACTGCTTTCCACAACGACCCGCAAAGCGCTCACGCTGGCGCTCTCAAAACGTACAACCGTCTACGTCAGCGGTACTACTGGCGCAGCATGTACACATTTGTCCGCAAGTACGTACGTGCTTGTACTGCATGCCAGCGACGTAAAGTCCCACCTCAACGCCCTGCCGGTACACTTCAGCCTCTGCCTTGTCCAGCGCGTCCGTTTGACCGCGTTGGTATCGACTTATACGGACCACTTCCCACGTCGTCTTCTGGAAATAGGTGGATAATTGTCGGCGTGGACCACCTCACGCGTTACGCGGAGACAGCAGCACTACCCGCAGCAACCGCGAGGGAAGTTGCGTTTTCATCTTGCGCAACTTTGTTCTTCGCCATGGTGCTCCCCGCGAACTTTTGAGTGACCGGGGGCGTGTTTTCTTGTCTGACGCCATTCAAGCGTTGCTCGCTCAGTGCAACATGGTTCATCGCCTGACGACAGCATATCACCCGCAGACGAATGGCCTCACAGAACGATTTAATGGCACTCTCGGTGATATGTTGACGATGTACACAGCTTCAGACCAGACTAATTGGGACACTGTCCTTCCATTCGTCACGTATGCGTATAACACCGCTACGCACGCGACAACAGGATTCTCCCCTTTCTTTCTGTTGTACGGACGCGAACCATCGTGCACGCTAGACACTATCCTCCCATACACGCCCGACTCCTCTGAGTACACTGCAATTTCTGATGTTGCCAGGTACGCAGAAGATTGCAGACGATTGGCCCGTTCTCTGACAACCGAGGACCAAGGGCCACCAGAAGCTACGGCTTGGACACCGGCCGACATCTCTCTACTTTAACGACTGGTGCTCTCGTTTGGCTCTGGGTTCCACCGAGCACTCCTGGCCTTTCGTCGAAATTACTGGCACGATACCACGGGCCCTACCGCATTCTCACCCGTACGTCACCCGTCAATTATGAGATTGAGCCATTGACACAGTCTCATGACTTACGCCGTCGTGGCCGAGAAATTGTGCATGTGAGTCGCCTGAAGCCGTATTACGACCCCGCTATAGTGACTACGCCTTAAGTCGCCAGGTTGGCTACGCTATTCACCGGGGGCCAATGTAGGGAACTATGCGAACGACGAAGAAGCAGCATGAAACGGCAAGCCACAGCGTTGGTGCACGCGCGACCCGAGCTTGCGTTTGTTTTGTATTTTCGGCCTGTTGGCGTTCCTCGCTCTTCTGGCGTTCCTCGGCCTTCCAGTAGGTCTGTACGTGAATAAACTGCGTGACACTGTTAAGTATTAGTGTTTTTCTGCTAATCACAAATGCTCGCAAAATACAAAAAATACCACGTGACAAACTAGCTCGCGTGTCAGTGCTCCCTAACGTTCCGCATAAGAACGACATGCTTCCCTCGCACCGGTTCATGACAGCGATAAGCAGTCACAGCGGTTATTGTTTTTGTGGCCTATAGCACAGCGTGTTCATCGTGAAGCCACCACCATCGTTGTGGCCTGCCGAGACAGCACAATCAGGCAAATTCTATGGTTGTTAGTACGCGGAGCGTTAGGGAGCACTAGGATCATTTTGCGCAGGTAGCGGGTTTGTCACACTATATTTTTGTAGTTTGCGAACTTTCTCATTGAAATTTTTTGTCTTTCTTCATTTCTTAAAAAGTTAGATAATTAAACATATCTAATTAAACAATATCTGAGAACACAAAAAATTGGCTATCTCGAGGCAACGATGAGCAACATGCATTTGGTCACGTCGTAATCGCGTGTGCTGGCAAATTTTTGAACTCTGGCTAAAGTTACCTGGGACACCCTGTATATGCGACACACATAAACTCTAAACACATGAACTTATTCTGTAAAGTGATGTAGCATCATCTGCCAGTCCAGACATACCTAAAATGCCAAGCTAGCACCCCCCCGCCCCCTACAGAGTAGGATAATTCAACGCTATATGGAGGGGAGGGGGCATGCACTTGCTCACTCCCGTACGGAAATTCAAGATGCGAGCGGGAAAGCTGCTAAAAATAAAAAATTCTCATTTATGTTTCTAATGAAATGATTTGACAATGGGACTTCATAAACATTAGATATGCGTACAGTGTAGTGATTTTTTCTACGCAAGCGACACTCATCTAAAAAAATGGGTGTATGGGAGCAGGGGGAGAGGTTACGATCATCGTCGCTCATTCTTTTTCCCGCGAAAAAGGAAGTACGGGTGCTTGCTCAACATTCTACAGTAGTACCTGACAAAAGTATATCATCTCAGCACTTACAACTGCCAATAGTCCTTGAGGCAGCTGCCATTCAAGCTAGACTCGTAGAAAAGCTGATTACTATATGCTGTCTTTATATGCATCCTGTTGCGGCTCTCGGCGCTGTTCACCAGCTGTCGCTTTGGATCCCAGCGCTGAGCACCCGTTGTTGCTGACCGGGATCTGCCCGGTCTTTTGTGGTAGCGTGGTGTAGCTTCGGGTTGAGGAAACGAACGCTGACAAGATGGGGATACGAAAAACAAACAGGTTTATGGCACTATTTACACTTATTTACAGCATAGAGGTTAGGAGTTCACACACGACGAGCGTGGTGGTTGAACCGTTACACGGTTCAGAGCGACGTCCCGCGCTCTGCGGCGTCGTTATAAGCCCTCTCGGGCTCCTCCTTCTTGAGTGGAACACCAATCACACACACACAACAGGCGAGGGGTACGAGCATGCATGGCCCACGTGAACATCCAATATTGAGTCGTGATCACTGCACTGCAAGGTGGCACCAGTAGGGCTCTTCCTCGTCGTGTGTGTGCCGCTGGTCGAGGGGTCCCAAGCTCCGGACAGCATACATCAAACTGGTCCGCCGATCTGTCCGCTCAATTAGCAGGGCAATTTGTGGTGGCGGCCGCAGTTTCTTCCAAGGAAGATGCTGTCTTTGTTGTCCTCTCTGGAACGGCTTATGGCATTGTGGCGACACGACGTCTCATCCTCCGGCTAGCAGAGACAATAGCTGGCGGGCATAGGCAGCCGGCCAGTTGGCTACTTGTTTGAGGATTAAAATAGCGCCGCTCCCCTGTTAGCTCTGGACGCTGGTTCCGAGAGAACTGCAGGGTTCCAGGCGAGGGAGCGCTGCCCGGCTAGGCTTCTCAGCGACAGCATGGCGCCTACTGACGACGGTCATAACAATCCCCAGATTGCCATCTCAATAAGCAAGAATTGTAGTCTTTGTTAGATTAATTACCTCAACCTTCTCTCATGCTTCAGGTGCATGTTTATTGAATCATAATGAACCAGAATATTGTCTCATAAATAGAACCTATTCGTCTTTAAGTGTTAGCATTGCACCTCTGACCCTTTTACTTCATTTGGAATTGACATTATCAATAGTTTTCATGAGAGCAGCCACTTCCCGATAGTTTTCAGCACACCAAAATCAAATGAATTTCTTCCACAGGTTTTTCATTCGAAGGTCAACTCAGCCAATTTGGAATATTTCAGGAATAGTACATTTATGAAATGAAGTGGTAGTGTTTTTCACTGAGGATAGTACTGTCAACTGCAAACAGCTTTTCTGAGTGATGCTGTGTTCTATTATAATAGTAAGCGCAGTGTTCCATGCTAGAATGATGTCTGCCTCGGTGGAACTGTGGCAACAGTGCTCAGCCCAACGGTCGTAGGTTCGATCATAAGTGCAGCAATCTCATTTTGATAGAGGAAAAATGGCAGAGGCCCGTGTGCTGTATGCGAGGTCACTGCATGGTAAAGAACACCAGATGGTCAAAATTTCTGGAGATTTCCACCAGAGCGTCTCTCGTAATCATATCATTTTTGGATGTTAAACCCCAGGTATTATTATTATTATGTTACAATGACAAATGTCAGAAGTCTTATGTAGATGAATGCGTGAAGTTTGTTTACAATTCCCTGACAGCAGAAAGCCCGATTAATTTTAGGCACATCAAATCTTGTGACAGGAAGCCTCCTGCCTGCATGAGGAGAATGCACGACAATGCTTACCAGAACTATATTTTTGTATTATGGCCATTTATTTCACCGTTGTTATTTTGCTTTGGCCATTGCGTCTGTCATCGTGTGAATAACTAAAAGCAGTAAAAAAAGAAACAAAAAGGAATACACACAACAGGACTAGCACTGTACTGCCAACTAAATGTTTAGTGAAAATTCACCACTTATGACTATGCCATCATAAACAGCTGTAATAGCTATAAGTTGTGAATTCCCAATAAATATTCAGATGGAAGTACAGTGCTAGTCCTGTTGTGCATGTCTTTGTGCTGCTTCTTGTTACTCGCATCATGAACCCACTCGCCCAGACCTACTAGTTGTTGCTGTCTGTCATCAAGTGGGTATATGTGTATGTTTGTATGTTTACAAGGCAGCACTTTTGTCTGTTGTTTCTTTCCACTCTGCTTTCACAGTGTGCACGTCTATTTGATGAAGTCAGAATTGAATAGTCTGTACTATGAAAAATTTTGGTCTCTTGATGCACACTGCCTGCCTCGAGACTATGGTACCAACCTGCTTCTTGGCCACTGATATGAATGGTGTAAGAGTCTACTTTTTACTGTGAAACTATGATATCACAATGCAGAAGCTGGCCATTGCAAGCCTGGAAGCGAGCAGTCTCCGTCGGAGGAATAAGCGGAGCCGCAGTGAGCAGCGTCGCCTGGCTCGCATGAGGAGACAGCAGACGTCGGCTACGGTGGGTAGCACTAGGTGAGGCCCGGCTGTAGCTGCCAACAAATGAGACTGTGGTGACCACTGCCATTGTGTCTTGGTGGTGACACATGTAACCCTTAATATGCACATGTTCCAGAGCATGGAGTGCATTTCATTAACTGAGTGTCACATGCAAAACTTACTCACTGGCAGCAATTTACACTTCTGTTATCAGAGTCATTCATTTCGGTTGGCAAAAGGCAAAAATATTGGAGCCATGCTAATGAAGACTTCTTCAGTATTGTTGAAGTAATGTGCAGACTTTGCTAACCTTTGAAGGAAGTTGATGTGTGGAAGTGCAATAATAAGCCATTAGAGGAAACCCACTATCTCTGAATTTAAAACAAGTCAAACATTATTCTTATGAACAATATTGTACACAAGTACCATGAAAGAAGGCTTGGTGTTATTAGCATTGAGGTGGTTTAAATGAAGAAATTTATATAATACATGCATAGCAATTTGCATGAAGGCAATCTTTCTGGAATCATGCCTGGAAAGCAGGGCAAATACTTGCTTGTGCAAGAAGGGATGCTTCATACACCATTGACAGCGACAAGGAATGGGAGGAGGCAGGTTGGTATTCTATGCTCAGAAAGGTTTAGTGCTAAAACTGAGCACAGTGGACAAAAAAAAAAAAGAAAACAAAACGACATGTGTGTACTGCACTTGTTCTTATTGCTCTTTTGTTTGGTTTTAGTAGTGAACATTCTTGAATGCGAAGTGACAAGGAATCTGCTGTGTGGGCAAGGTGTCTGTATGGCAGTTAAAACATAACAGTTAAGCATTTTAACGAAATGGAAAAACAAAGAACAAAAATTTCTAGTTTCCATTTCAACTAAGTGCTATGGCAGTTTGCACATTGCGGTGAAATGCAAACGAAAATTTGCTACGTGGTCCTGTGAGGGCTGCCAAAACCTTTTAATATAATGTAAGCTCGTAACTTTTGTCTTCCTCAGTTAGTGTAGCCTTGTCAATTCCATCATCTTGCTGTATCCGCTCAACCACGGCATTTTATTCAAAGCTGATGCTCTCTACACCTCATGATGCTGAAAATGCCATTCTTAGGATGCCCACTTTTGATCACGTTGGTCTTCACTTCTGTCCTCCAGTTGTAGTTATAGTGCGTACAATCAAGTGTCTTCGTCATACGCATCCCCACATGACTCAACCCAGTGCTAGTTAGCTACAAATCTCCATCTCATCTGCATGTAATGGTACAAAAACATTGTTGCACGGGTTGTTGAACAACAGGGGCGTAGCCAGACATTTTTTCAAAGGGTGGGGGGGGGGGGGGGTCACATTGATTCAACTGAAGAGCGGACGCATCAACTTTCTTCTGTGGCGCGACTAGTAGTTTGAGCGCATTGTGTACTTGTATATTAAAGATATTAGACTCCCCCTTTCCCCCTTCCCCATGCATATGCTTGTGAAGAGAGTAAGTAAATGTAATGTAATCACAGTAAACAACATGTACAGTGGCCGTTTGCAGCTACAGCCTCTTGTCGCACCATTGAATATACCAGTCTTTAAAAACGCATTATAGCGACGACTTGCCCGATCGGAGAAGACATTGTTAATCTCTGATAGGCATAGATGGCGTAGTCCTCGTCGGGGTGACGTTTGTTTCACTAGTCAAGGACGTCTCCGCTTACAACCAGAAATCAGAGGTATATGCAGCATGTTTTTGTATATTCATAATTACATTTCGATTTTGCTTGCGTTGCTGAGCGAATTTCTTACTGTCTTATGTTTCTGACTGCAAGCCTATGGGAATGATTTTTATGTTAAGCTCTGTCAGCAGCTGTGATAGCTTTTAGTCAACATTTTTCACATTACTGCGCATATGAAAGCATGCTTACAATACACAATAAGTAATTCTTTTTTGTAAGTTATGCTCAATGTTGGCAACAGGATTTCGCACAGAATATTTTTGGGGCAGACTGTCTCTAAAAATTTGATTCACATTACAGTTGCACTGTGACTTTTGATAGGAATGAAGTACTCCAGTCATTGAAGTGCAATCAGCAAAGCCGAGGTAGTTGTTGAAAAATGCTCACTTGACCTCAATCGAAAATGCACCTGGGAGCAGACTATATATTTACTCACATAGAAATAGCTTGTTTGCTGCTGCATATGTGCGCTAGAAAACTTATATTTGTGCAAAAACACGTAATGTTACCTTATTTTTTTGTCATTCTTCCCTCTTAAACGATAGCATTGCCACAAGGTGTATTTCGTTGTTTGCAAGAGTGCAACCCTCATTTTTCTTTACATCAACAGATTCAGAACTGTACCACCGCACAGCATAGATATCGCTTGTACACTTTTCTAACTATAGTATGTGCGTTCGTGTTCGCAGAACTTACACCAGCGCGAACAGGAGCAGCCTCGTACCACACAAAATTATGAGTGATCAGTTCACTAGTGATGACAGAATGAATTTTGGTCTCGTTCAGAGAATAGTGCATTATAATCAATTTATCATAATGCGTGAACTCTGACGAGAACTGCCAGTGCATGCAACACGCGTTTACTTACGCTGTACTGTGCATCATCCATGCCTGTCGGTTGCCTGTTTCGAGCATTCTGATGCGAGTCGCTGAAATTTTACTGCTGGCATCACCTCCTTTGCGTTTGCCCCACCGCGGTGGTCTAGTGGCTAAGGTGCTCGGCTCCTGACCCGCAGGTTGCGGGATCGAATCCCGGCTGCGGCGGCTGCATTTTTGATGGAGGCGAAAATGCCGAGGCCTGTGTGCTCAGATTTGGGTGCACGTTAAAGAACCCCAGGTGGTCAAAATTTCTGGAGCCCTCCACTACGGCGTCTCTCATAATCATATGGTGGTTTTGGGACGTCGAACCCCACATATCAATCAATCGCCTCCTTCGCGTTAATTCACGCTTCTGGAATGGGATCACAACACAACACAAACTACCAGCCTTCCAATGGGGCGCAGTCACAAATGCAAAACGTTTCCCGCGTAGAGTCAGATACTGGGCAAGTGCGACCTTACCGGCACCTGAAGAGAAGCAGAGAAAATGTATACTGGCAAATCTTTCTGCCAGGGTAGAAACGAGGGCTAGTGTTTAAGGCGGAACTTTACCAGCCGACATTGATTGATCGATATGTGGGTTTAAACATCCCAAACCACGATATGATTATGAGAGACGCCGAAATGGAGGGCTGCGGAAATTTCTACCGCCTAGGGTTTTTAAAAGGCCAACTTTGACGATTTTTCGAGGTCAGTGGAACTCAATGAAATTCGCTGGGTATGTTCCTTCCCACATTTCCATCATTTATGCCAAATTACAGGCTTGAGAGATGCGCTGATTGTTTGCAAATGGATTTTAAAGATTGCCTTGAAAAGCTCACCTCGCTTGCCAAAATTGTTGGCAACACTGTCTGTGTGATGTCATGTTTGGCATGTTAATGGAATTGACGCAGCCGATGGCATCGCTACTTTGGCCACTCAGCGTTTGTTGTGCTGGCCACAAGGCGACAGTGGGAGTGTTTGGCACGGGTATAGCATGGAAAAGCTTTCTTCCTTTCTTTGTGGTGTTTGGCCGGTGCTTCGCTAATCTGCCTTTCACAGTTTTCATACTCCGCGCCGACATGGTCAGTACACAGCCTCCAGTTCTTATTAAACAGTACATCATACGCAGACAGGGCGACCGGTTAGGTTTTGGTTTCAGTATTGCACTTTTTGCTTATGAAAAATTATTTTCAAATTTCCTGAGCATTTCAGCTATTTATTGGGCTTGTGACAAGAGTGTCTCTTAAACATAGAGACACCATTATTTTGACATGGTCGAAAAATAGCCAGAGTTGGCCTTTAACGTGCAATATGAGCACACGGTTGCCAGCTAACATATACCGTCGCTAGAGTTCTTGTTTCTCGCATTCAGTGTCACTGCCTATACTTTGCTGAGCTTCTTGCTTCCTAGCAGTGCGAAGTCACCCCCTTGAATTACGCTGCCTACACATATTGCTAAAAATGCAGCTTAGTGCGAACTTTGGCTCTATTTTTTTCGTTATGCATATGAATTAGTACTACCTAATTAGCTAGACCTCAGTGCTTGCTTTTCACATTTTTATGCTTGTCTAGCTTGCTGTCTTCCACTGTCAGTGATATTGAGGGCACGACTTGACTGTGGTCCTCAAAGAAACAAAAAAAAGGTCATATTCAAAGAATTTAGTGCAGCGCTCGTGTTGTCCTTTTTGCTTTCCGTGCCTCGCCTTTCGTCTGTTTCTTCTAGCACATTCGTGCTCGTGCTGCAGCCCTTATTACCATGAATTCAAACCAACTAGCCCAAATAGCCATTCTTCTTCAATTTAGTGCAACCTTGACTCTCGCAAACACCCGCACATCCATCCTAGTGACACACGACACACAGTGTTTGCGAGAGTCATAGTTGCGTTAAATTCTTTCAATATGACGAATAACCAACTGGCCCAACAACAAGTTTTCTTGAAAAGGAAAGGAAAATGGGAAAGGTGTGGAATAAAAAGGCAGTCCTTTGTGTCTTTCTCCAACGAGTGTTCTTTCGAGCCAGCTGTTGTTTAAAAACATTGTCTTGTATGTGCACATAGACAAACGCCTACCCACTCACTCTGTGTTCTACCTTAAAGACTGAGATTTGGAGCATGGCTCTGCTATTGCAACCCACCCTTTCTGTTTTTCATCCTTTTATACTTTTCTTGTTCTTCAATTATGTCTCCTTGAAATATGCTGCTGTGCTCTTTTCCTTTCCCATTGAGACTGAAGGTTGGTGAGCCAATTGTGGCGTATAGGATTGCTTATATAAATAAAGCAGTCTCTGCACGGATGTAGAGAGGCCCTTTTGTTTTTACTGCATTGGCATTTGCTGTTCAATTTCATAATGAAGAACAACGCACAAATACTTTAATGCAATGTTTCATGACTTATCGTTATGCCAGTGGTTTATCTTCTGTTAAACTTCCATCTCATGCAGTTGTGCAAAAGCATCTTAATGTTGAACGTTTGGGGCCCCTACGTTTTGCTTTGGCTTTTATAAAATTAGTGTGTAATGGTTTCAAAGTTGCCCTGCCGTGGTGATCTAGTGGCTAAGGTACTCGGCTGCTGACCCGCAGGTCGGGGGTTCATATCCCGGCTGCGGCGGCTGCATTTCCAATGAAGGTGGAAATGTTGTAGGCCCGTGTGCTCAGATTTGGGTGCACGTTAAAGAACCCCAGGTGGTCAAAATTTCCGGAGCCCTCCACTACGGCGTCTCTCATAATCATATTGTGGTTTTGGGACATTAAACCCCACATATCAATCAATGGTTTCGAAGTTATAATGCGTGATCAAGTGTCAATATGTTTCATAAGTCAAGTATTGTGACAATAAATTTCTCTGGCAACCAGTCTTCCTCAGGTAAAGTACCCTGAAGCGTACTTGAAATCGAGTACTAAATACTACTACTATTAGGAAGTGTTATAGTTACTATCAAACATAAATCTTTATTTAAGTGAGAGGTACTTGAAATACAGTAACCAGTTATGTATTCATGTGACTCACGTGATCTTTATTTTAAGGTTGATTCTACAAATTCGAAGAAGTAATTTTGAAGCGAAGCTTGAATTAGTAAGAGCACTGCAGTTTGGAAAGCACTCTATAAACATTCAAAATTTGGCTTTGTAGAATTTCTAGAAGTGCCACAGATAATTGAAAAAAAAAATTTTTTGTTCGTTTAAGTCTTTCATTCTGAAGTGTAGATGAGAAGCTGCTTGGTTGCAGTGAACTAAATAGAACTAGCCTTGGTTCTTGTTTTTCGAAACTGCTGACACTCTGTCAATGCGTGCTTCCACGACTTTATGCCCGGTCACTACTCACATGTTCTAGGTCGTGACTGTGATTGTGAAACAGCATGGACATTTCATTTATTGAAGAGGCGTTTGAGCCTTAATAAAACGTGTTTAATTGCATTGCTATCGAGTGTTCTTGTCTGTCTCATGCTATATCATCATACAATGCAGTTGTCGCTTTTATTGAAAATTACTGTTCGGTTTTCCCGCTTTTTGAAAAGTGATGCCATTATGTTGATCACTCTTTGCAGTGAGGATCAGCAAAAGTGGCAGCAGGTGCGCCCCTTTCTTACTGTAAACGACCACCTTGAAGGTCCAGTGCCTCATGGCAGCTGTGGGCCCAAGGTAATTTGCATAACTACACTTGTGCAAATATTCAAGCACCTAGAATATTGCAGTGAATATTAACGTATATGAATTTGCTTCAGTAGTATTGAAATTGTTGATGTATTCAAAATAAACGAGTGATGTAACAATAACAGTAAATTACAGTATAGAATTATAGAATAAAAAATATAGCATTAGCTCACACGTGATCGCTTGTAAAGGTGGTTTCACTGCAGTGAAGGGGTTATTACCCTCTCATCGATTGTAGCTTTATTAAGGTTGAAAGTTTGTTATGCCAGCTTATGTGTTGTAAGTATAGTAAATTTTAGAACATAACATATTTTACAAGTCACCATTTACATTCTATCAAAAGTAAAATCCTGCCACTATTCAAAGTTGTTTCTGCTTGAAAAAGTTGAAGCAAGAAGAATGACATCTGCACATGCCTTGTTTCATTTGAAACAAAATATTGTGCTGGTTAATTGAACACAAATGTACTTGTTTTTCTTCATAATATGGTATATAAAACATTCCAATTCAATTTGAAATTATTCAAACCAAATCACTTTTTGCTTTGAATTTGCTTTCAATCCAAATATATTTTTATTTGCACAAGCCTATTATTGCAGCAGCTGTATGTGCTTAGTCATGCCATTAACGAGTCAATTGTGGTTACTGGCCTAGTTTGTCAACCATTGGCTAAAATAGAGAGCAATACAAAGGCAGATTCCTGGAATGTAAAAAAGTTCTTCTGTCTCTTGGTAAGACATAATTTTCCCAATCAATGAAAAATTGTTCTCATAATATATGCGTATTTTGCGTTTTAATGGCAAACAATTCAAACTACAGGGATTAAGGAAACTCACGATAAACACAGCTTGAAGTTGGTCGCTGAACCACCTGAGCTGGCATCATTATTTGATGTCACGGGGACCCAACTAAAGCAGATAAGTCTCGCTCTACTGTTGAATGGGTTTCTTTCCTGCTCTAAAATGCTGAATAAAAGTATACACTCAAACCTCGTTATAACGAAGTTGAAGGGGAGCTACAATTATTTTGTTATATCCATTATTTTGTTATATCGATTATAACAGTTAGTGGCATTGTATGCTCAGATGGGCTCACACCTATAAGCATGCAAAGAAGGAAACGCCTCGCGGCCCGATGTACCGCTACGCGACCACGCGTGCAACGAAAAATAAACACAGTCAAATCTCATTCATTTGAACACACTTAATTAGAACTATCGGTTGATTTGAACTCAGGCTGTGGTCCCGTCAAAGCTATGTGTATTCCAATGGGCAAAAACAATGGGCTTGCGCGTTCTCTAATTCGAACGCGCAAGCACTTGCGACGGTTAATTCGAACGTACTGCGCTCCGAAAATGCTCTCAGCAGCATACCTAATCCCGCGACAGCACCTCTCAATGCTGCACGCAAGGAAGGAAAAGGAAAAAAAGAGACTGTGTGGGATTGTTTGCTCATTCTCAAACGCCAATCTGCGATGCCCTTGTGCCACGCTTCTCCCTTTTTCGTCTCTGCAAGTAGAGACCTTTCTCTATTCAAGGCTGCGTGCGGAGAGAAAGAACAAAAAAAAACTGTTGCGGAGAAACAGTTTTTTGTTTTGTTTTGTTGCGGAGAGTTGGCTCTCTCTCTAATGCCCATCTGGCTTCTCTCCGCGTGGAGACGTTCCTTCTTTCTCGGTTCAGAGGGTAGCAGCGGAAACGCAGTCGTTGCCATCGTCTTTAGAGAGTGTTGGCGCTGGACTTAGCCGCATGCTACTATGCTTTGCAAACTGCGTGCGAAATTGTTTGACTCGCTGCAAAATGTGTGCAGATGCGAATCACCCATTACTTCAATTAATGACGGATGTCCTCTGATTTGTGAATAAATGTAAGTCTTCTGAAGCTTCCCCGTTGTGTGTTCTTAAGTCAGAGGGAAATCGCTTTGCACCGCGGCGCCGCTTCTCGATCATGTAACCCGCTGAGCGCTTCCTCAATCCTCTTCGGTGGCTGTGGGAGGAGGACGGCTCTCTCGGCCGCACGTGGTGTGGCTGAAAGGTCAGCACGGGAGTTTTGAAAGAGCCGTGCCGAACGAGCGTCAAACTCCGCAGAAAACGATATACTTAACACACAATGGTCTGCCTTTTTTGATAGACTGTTTGATAAACTAATTTAACTCGTTATATTCATTTACCAGTCAATTTTATTTCGTTACATTGAGGTCTAAACTGCATGGTTTTCAGTGAAGCTTTCAAGGGGAATTTCATTTACTTCATTATATTCGTTATTTCGTTATATCCCATTATGTTATAACGAGGTTTGAGTGTAATAAGTACATTTAAAAACAGTTGCTCACATACAGGTAACAAGAATGACAGTTACTAAAGGTGATTTAATATTGCATTTACAGCTGACATTGCAATGTTTCATTTACAGCTGACAGGATATGTGCCGGGCATTTTCGTGGCAGCCCCTGCAATTCTGGGTAGTTATAATTTTGCTGAAACTCAATTTAGCTGCGCCTCATACCACTCTGACGAAACAAAACCACAAGGTGTGTATATTCACATGCGGGAGGTTTCCAGATAATAAACTGCAGGCGCTCTTTAGAACTAGTTTCTCAGTAGTACAGGAAGCATTCGCTCACTTTCAGACGGAGCTTGAATCTCTGGTCGAAGCAGCCATTGCGGACGGTGACTTTGAGAAGGCAGAGATGCTGAGCGACCACTTGGCTAACCGGCAGGTGAGATATTGTTACATGGCAATAACACTAAGTCAGTTGCAAGCCGCAGTATTTGTTTTGTTTTGTCGCCTAGAAGATCTTTGCTCAAACCCACAATAAAGTATAGCCACACTGTATCTTGTAACGTAAATTTTAATACAATGCTTGTTAAAAGAGAGATAAATTGGATATGAACACGATGAATAACAATGTACATTAAAAAAAAAAAGTAAAAAGGGCAAAAGGAGTCAACAAACCACACAGATCACACCCAAACGTTAACTTCGTCTATTTTCTTCTACATGCCTTGTAGGGTATCTTTCACTATACACTGAGAGTGTCAGTGACATGCAGCACAACCCCCAGCGGCAAAAGCACTGACCTGGCGCGTCTATGGGGCCACAGTAGAAGGAGGGTGGTAGCGCTTGAGCCTTGATACGTGGACGACATCACGGCGCAACAGAGGCGACGAGTTTGTGGGGTTATCTGGCACCATTTCGTACATAAGGTCTGTTACTTGTCAAAGCACACAGCATAGGCCCGTGAAACCAGAAAGTAGCTTCTCTGAAAGGCCGACGCAGCGCACTAGAGACAAGAGAATAATGAAAGAATTCACTAGAAATCGTTCTTCGCGATGTCGTTCATCGTAACGGTGCTTCAGTGTTTGTTGAGAAGCCGTCAATCTGGTGGGGGCAAGCTGACGGGCGTGGTCAGCACTAACAATAGCATCGGGAGCATATTCGGTGGTTGACTCTGCAGAAGCCGAAATGAATGTATCTAGTGGCCTCAGTTCGCGTCCAAAGTCCCAACAAAAGGTAAAACGGTGAATGTTAGCAGAAGGGGTCCGCGGATTGTTAGCAGGAGGGGTCTGCGGATTGAGTAGCAGCCTCTCCATCGTTGCTGGATCATTTACATTCTTATTCTTTGAGACGAACTGCGCCAAGTTGAAAATGTTTGCTCTTGTCGCAAAGACGGAAGGTGACCCAAAATGTGCAAGTTTTATGGCACTCACATTGTTGCCAATTTGCACAGCATTGATTGTCAAAAATGGATCACTTGGAGTTGCACGGCAGCGGGCATAATCTGCGGGCGACGTGTTGGTGTCGTGCTTGTGTTCATTCTCGGGTGATTCACGTAGGCCGGTGCATGCATTCTCCTGAGTTGCTACAGAAGTTCCGACGCACTTGGCTCTCCGCCTGTGCTGAGGAAGGAGAAGCTTTGACCTTCGAAAAAGGCATCTACACTGCGTCTGTTCGGACTTTCTTGAAGTGAGTCGCAAGTCTCAATTTTTTCGCTGTTTCGCAGTGTCTTCTCATTTTGCTACCATAATCATGTGCGCACACACAAAGTGGTCAGTGGCTCCAAAGAGACGTTTGCAACTGCCTCAATTTCTGGACAAGAACGGCGTATTATGTTTCTCTTGCCCGTTTTACAGCTCTAGAATCCTCTCAACAGATGTGACCCCCAAGAATGCATTGTTGAGACTGTAACGTTAGTGTTTTTACTCCCGTGGTACCCTCCTGACATGACATGTTTCTTCTTTCCTGCGAAAAGCCAGTAGAGTACATCTCTGGGGCCGGACTGTGTGGTAGAAGCCTTTGCTTTGTGCGCGGCGTAGAGGCGCATATACTTTGTGTGCAGATGAGGCAGATTTTCGTGCGAGTGGCTAAGGTCGTTCGATGTAGCTTGGATATGCCAGTCTTTCTTCAGCACTTTAAATGTCAAGAAAGTTGAAATGTGTAGAAAACATTGGCATCTGGTGGCCGCTTTACAGGTGTTTAAGTATTTTAGTATCAGCCAAAAAGCATAAAAAAAACCCCTCGACCCCCCTTTGTTACGGCCTTGGGCTGGTTGGTATTGAATTTTTTAAAGAAATATACTTCTTTAGGGCACAGGGAACGTTTCAGAAGGAAGAAAGAGCAGAGAGATAGGACAGAGCGCACACTTACAGCCAATTTTATTGCACACATGGCGTACAGATGGCCCTTGTTCTGTGCGTGATATCCTCGCCCTCTTGACTGTATATATATTTCCGCCATCTGTGCAATAAAATTGATTGTAAGTGTGCACTCTATCCTATCTCTCTCCTCTTTTTCCTTTTACAACGTTCTCTGCGCACTATGGAAGTATATTTCTTTAAAAAAACTGTACAGAGAGACTCCCTACTTCTGAGACATGATGGGACACGATCAAAAAAGAAAAGCTTCCCTAGAAAATGTGTTGTTGTGCGTAGTGGACTAAATATGCACAGCTGTGGAGATATTCTGTGTTTCGGCGACACAAGTCCGATGTATTATAACGCGGCGCACAAATTCAGTTCTCCTTGAGCATGTACTCATATGTGTCGTTGCGTGTTCATTCCTAATTTTGAGACACGGTCAATTTTGGTTTTGTTTCGAATGTAAGAACAAACCGTTTTCACCTTCGTGAGCTGATTTGAAATAACGATTCTAAAAGGTGAAGGTGGTGAAGTGTAACTGCCGAACATTTATCAATAGTTGTTTCGTGACAAAGCAGCTTCAAGCCACGCCAAGCCAGAAGGAATGTAAAGTATGAAAACTAGGCAGATCCATGTACTACCCATAATTCTCACGCTCGCTGAAGCGCCATGTGTGGCCGCTCCCGTAGACACTACGCCAGTGTTCTCTCTAATTTATGTTTGGGAAACTCTATGCCTAACCCGACCACGGAGACAGAAACAATTAGGAGGTGCAACTCCGCTCCTTGAGGCGACCATATTGTCATGGGGTCATGACTTGGCCGAAGGGAGCAGACTGCATGTCGAAGATAAAGCTGTTTATTTGTGCTTAACGTGTGGCCAGGAATTTGAAGAACAGATTACAGCAACACACAGGCACTGGTAGCGGCGAACAGAATGTCAGCCGGCGATCAACTGACAAGCAGTGATGCGCGTCGGTTTTATACACAGGCCATCAAATATTCTAGTGTTATCACTAGCTGCCACATAGGTTCCAGAATAATCTGTAATGTTCCCCCAAGTGGACATAGTCTTATCGAAATGATCTACTTCAGTCCCAAAGCTTCTCGAACAGTACATGCACGGTTTGCGCTGAGAATTGCGTACAGTGTAACGGGGTAATAACAAAACTTGTAGAAGGGATGTGGCCTTCCCCCCTCCGAAAAAGGCATCGTTCCAGTGCTTTAACAGAAGATGAAAGTAAAATGATAATTCAAGAAATTATAACAAATAAATTACGATACAGCAATCACGACAACAAAATACTTTTTCAGTTCGTTAATGTACATAAAAGGGCTTGAGCTGCACGACATAAACGACTTCAGGTCGCAATCGGCACAGTTGAGAGTTCGTAATGCCGTCGGGGACAATATCGTAGTCTAGTGGGTCGAGACGTCGCACTACCCTGTATGGTAGGAAGTATCGTCGCAGAAGTTTTTCGCTGAGTCCATGTCTGCGTATCGGCATCCATACCCAAACACATTCACTGGGCTGGTATTCCACAAAGCGTCGTCGAGATTGTAGTGGCGGCGGTCGGTCGTCTGCCGATTTGTGATGCGCAGGCGGGCGAGTTGACGAGCTTCTTCAATGCGCTAAAGATAGAGGGTGACGTCAAGATTTTCTTTGTCAGCGATGTTGCGGAGCATTGCGTCGAGCGTCGTTGCAGTGTTCTTTCCATAGACCGACTTGTACGGCGCCATCTGCATCGGCTCCTGCACTGCCGTGTTGTATGCGAAGGTCACGTACGGAAGGATAGCATCCCACGTCCTGTGTTCAACGTCAATGTGCATGACCAGCATGTCGGCGATTGTCTTGTTTAGCCGCTCGGTGAGACCATTTGTCTGTGGGTGGTAGGCGTTAGTGTGGCAGTGGCTTGTCTCCACTCTTTTCTGTTGTGGAATAGTTGCATTCTGCCTTTGATAGTGACTGGCTAGCATAACTGATAACCCTTTCGTCTCCGTTAGTCTTCTGCATTAGAACAGTGCCGAGGCCTACGCTGCTTGAGTCGGTGTGCATCTCCGTATCGGTGTATTCGTCGAAAAGTATCGGAGGGGTCTGCAGGCATCATTTCAGTTTCTGAAATGCTTCAATTTGTGTCGTTCTATACTTGAAATCAACATCAGTTTTCTTGAGCGTTAGTGGCTCGGCGATTTGTGAAAAGTCCTTGACGAAGCGTCTGTAGCAGGCGCACAAGCCGAGAAATCGGTGCATGGCCTTCATGTCGGTGGGTGATGGCAAGGAGGTTATGGCAGCTGTTTTCTGCGGGTCTGGGCGCACTGCCGTCTTGATGATCACGTGACCCAAAAACAGAAGCTCCTTGTACGTGAAGCAGCCTTTCTCTGGCTTTAGGGCGAGTCCAGAGCTCCTAATTGCTTGACATACTGATTCAAGGCACTGTAGGCGTTGGTCGAAGTTCGAGAAAAACACAACGACATCGTCCAAGCAAACGAGGCAAGTATGCCACTTCAAGTCAGCCAGAACGGTATCCATGACTTGGAAAGTCGCAGGTGCCGAGCAAAGGCCAAAGGGCATGACCTTAAACTCGAACAGGCCATCCGGTGTTATGAAGGCAGTTTTTTCTTGGTCTCTTTCGTCGACTTCGATTTGCCAGTATCCAGTCTTGAGGTCCATCGAAGAAAAGTACCTCGCATTGTGGAGTCGATTTAGGGCATCGTCTATCAGTGGGAGCGGGTACCCATCCTTCTTCGTGATTTTGTTTAGGCGGCAATAGTCAATGCAGAAGCTTAGAGTTCCATCCTTCTTCTTCACTAACACCACAGGTGATGCCCATGGACTATTTAACGGCTGGATGATGTCATCGTGCAGCATTTCGTCGACTTGTTTCTTTATGGCGTCACGTTCTTGCGTCGAAATTTTGTGTGGGCTCTGACGGAGTCGACTGGCATTTTCTTTCGTTATGATTCGATGTTTTGCGACAGGGGTCTGTCGAATTTTCGAAGACGACGAAAAACAGTTCTTGTATTTCAGGAGCAGGTTTCTGAGTTGTTTTTGTTTATGTGTCGGAAGGCTCGGATTAACCTCG